ATTGCATACAAACACTATTATATGCATATACTTGCGCACAAATACTAATATATGAACAAGTATACATACAGACACTGTATTATGCACATGTTCTTCACAATATTCACATATATTTTACATTGTCAATGATCATTTCAAAACATCTGAGTCAAAGAACATAATAATTTTGCTACTACTAATTATTTTCTCCCACCACTTCAAGTCTGGTATTGTCCTATCATTTTTAAATATGTTCTATTTATCACATATAAATAAAGCTGAAAAACCAACAGTTGAAATCTCACTTACATACCAAGTAAATTTCAATAAAAAAATTCTCGAAATGATATGATTAGATGACTTACGTATTCTGAAAAATTAAATACATAACATTTTAAAATTTGGCATTTTCTTTTAAACAGTTTTACACCTATTTATTTAACTATATTGAAAACATCATAACTGATGTGTTAAGTGTAATATAAAAATCAGTTCTGCCAGTTAAAGTGTGATATGCAGCAGTATAATTAAAAGCAAATACAATTCTAAATACTTGTTATATTCTACATTATAACGTTGATGTCATACATCAACTTCTGCATACATTATGAGCAACATCTATATCCATAGAAAACGTATTTACACGAATAATATTACTGTAACAAGAGTGAAAACAAAATGTTGGTAAATTTGAATCAAGTATGATAATAGAAAACATGAAAAATTCTTCATATGAAAGCACCTTACATCAAATAAAAAAAACAAATATGCATAATTCAGTAAAATGTCACACGAGCCTGAGAACCAATATGTCGATGTGTCCGGCACACAACAATAAACTCATTATCGGTTTTAGTTTAGAATTTCACTCAGTTTAGAATTTAGGAGCTTATTTAAATCAGTTTAACTAATAGCAGGAATGAATGGAATAATGGATGGAAAAACATTTGGTTATCGGTCGGTCGGACAGGCATTAAATGTTAGCGGGCGCATCTTTGGAAATCAGGTGAATACTGATCAAATATCACATGACTAATAGTTACATATCACCTGACAAATGTTTGGAAATCAGGTGACTACTGATCAAATATCACATGACCAATAGTTACATATCACTTGACAAACATTTGGAAATCAGGTGACTTATGATCCATGTAAAACGTTACATTAAAATATCCATTGCAGAAAAACAAATATATTTGATACATATATATTTCATAAAATAAATATTAATAAGAAAAATATAAATACATTTTTATAAATAAAAGTATGATATGCAGAGCAAACACGCATAACTGTATTACAATCAATCATTGCATAGACAAGACTGTTACATAATATTGCAATGGGAAATGCAAACATAATTGTACAAAAGTGACAAAAATGAGATCAGATCAGAATATAAGACCATCAAAATATGAAAAATATCAAAATCATAATATAAACATATCAAAAATATAAGTTACAATTTTAGCTGAAAACCAGAAGTAAATCAATATTACTAAATTTGTAGTGGTGTAGTACCCCCTCACAGTTTGAAAACAAAATTAAATTAATATTACAGATTTTTTAGCAGTGTACTGCCCTCTCATGTCATTGCTTTCGAAACCTGCATCCATCTTTTGGCAAAACAATGATTTTATATTATTACCGGTATAATTGTTTGTTTGTCAAGACGTAGATAGAACTAATCTAAATAGATTGCATGATTGGATACAAGTCCATGTTATAAGCTCTGTTATTGAAGTGAATAAAACTCATAAAAGTGATAAATATCAATGATAAATAACAAACGGTAATGAACTTGATATGACCATTTTTCAATTTGTCTTTTTTAGACATACAGCAGAAAAAAAACCTATTTGCAGATATACAGCATATATATATAGACAAATTATTTACATTGCTTTTAGGGGGTAAAATTAACCCTTTGAGTTCCAATTTCTTTTTTCACTTAAATTTGAATAAATTTGTTCACATTACTGTAATTTTCACTGATTTCAATCTTAATTTTTGAACAAAGAAACAAAATGTGACATTATTTCTAGATTTTGATCAAAAAATGTGGAAAAATGCAGACTAAATAACACTATTTTGGATTGTAAGAATTTGTATGGTAAAACATCTCAAAAAAACTCTTCAAGACTGAGAGTGTGTTTATCACCCAAAACATGTGAAAGAGATAGTAAGTATTCACTCATTAATATTAACGCATAATTTCACGAGTCCATCATCATTATTCAATGAGTGCATTGTCCAAACTTTTCACCATTTATAGTGAGTGCGCCCTCATTGTCCAAAGCAATATATGCAAAATTCACTACCATATATTTGCAATCACATTTGTTTTAAAACAGAAAATCTTTGACAGTCTTTATAACTTAGGAATGCTAATAATACTTTTCCTGTATGACACTGAAACTTTCTTTTCTCTAGCTATGTCATCCGGTGGATGGTAAATCTCTTGTTTTCTCCAATATCTGGCAATCAGCAAATAAACGGTACCACTGAACGAGCAGCAAACAAATCCAAGAAAACAACAGTAAAATGACCAAGAGAAATTGACCGTCTTCTCAAAACCATCAGGGAACTTGACAAGAGAAGTTGGTCTTTCATTTACAAAATATAGTTTACTTACAAGGTACAAACTCACTGTTAGAGTATCACAGATAGCTGAAAGAGAAAATAAAATAAAATATTACTATATAAAGCAGTTAAAGTATGCAGCCAGCCCTGCAAACAGATACATGTATGAAGTGATATATGAACAAGAAATATAAATTTAGATTAGCCACATACATGTGTGACATGATAGATGCAGTCAAACTAGTGTAAAGTGACTTCATTGATTTATAGACAGGTAGTCTTTATATGGAGGTTGGATCACCATGGGTCACCAGCTTGTATATTTGACATAGAATTTGTT